GCCACAGCGTTCACTTCAACAATTATTATTCTGGGCCAGCAAATAAGGACATCAAGGTACACCTTCTCAAAATAGAGAATCAACTCGCAAATTTAGAAAAAAAAATTGATGCTTTGACGGAGAACAAAACAACTCCGCTAGGTGAGTTTATATATATATATACGTCTTACAACTCATCCATGGTGAAATACATCATACTAGCTAATGTTGTTTGATGTCTCTAAACAGCTATGAAAAACTGTGCTGAGCTGTACAAATCCGGCAAAAGAATCACAGGAGTTTACACAATCGACCCCGATGGTTTAGGTGCGTTTGATGTGTTTTGCGACCAAAAGTCTTCCCGTGGCGGTTGGACAGTATTCCAGAAGAGACTCGATGGCTCCGTTGATTTCGTCAGTCGCGGCTGGGCGGATTACAAACGTGGATTCGGAAACTTAAATGGGGAATTTTGGCTTGGACTGGACAAGATACACCGCCTGACGAAAACAAAGAATAGACTGCGAGTGGAACTTGAAGACATACAAGGAAAGGCAGCTTACGCTGAATATGACATGTTTTCTGTTTCCGACGAAAGAACTAAATATAGATTTGGCCTTGGGATATATACAGGTGAGTGCTTACAATCTGTGGATTGGTCTATTTTACCCAAAATATAGTTTCTATAGAGATACAACCGAATTAGAACGATTCTTTCATTTTTATACAGACCAATAAGCCTAGTGTCAAAGAAAAGGGTACTATAGCTGTTATTTGCTCCAGATCCCCAAAATAGTAGATTCTTCGGGTTTTTTTCTTATTATTTTTGTTTGCTTGCTCGTTTTGAGTTTTTTTGTGTGTGTGTGTGTGTGTCAGAGTTTATCACATTCTCTTCTATCATCAGAGACTGAAATACACTAAAAGACTCAATTTCTCTCCAAACTAACACACAATTTCTGGACTTAATGATGGTTCCTGAACTCCCGCCTTAGGGGGAAGCCGCAAGTTTAGAGTTGTGCCTACTTACGCTAACTTCCGGTGTTTTTGTCTCAGGAACTGCTGGTGATTCTTTGAGCTATCATCGAAACATGGCATTCTCCACCAAAGATCGCGATAATGATGATTCCTCGACCAACTGTGCCGCAAAATATGGTAGTGCTTGGTGGTACAAAAGCTGTGTCCGTGCCAACTTAAACGGCTACTATTATCACGGTCAGCACACTTCGGCCCCTTGGCGCGGTATCAACTGGAATGCATGGAAGGGTCATAGTTACTCTGCTAAGACAGCTGAAATGAAGATCAGGCCCGTGGACTTTTTAAGTTAGAAAGATACTCAAACAAGAAATACAGTACTTCAGCTAGCTATCAGCTTCTCTACATAGTTGAGTGACACGGAATAAAAAGCAGTGTAACGTGCTACAATATTTGAATGAGTTTGACACAAAGGTATGGGTTTAATAAAAGAGAAGAGAAATACGTTAATTTCATTTTCGTGTATCACTATATTTGTTTTACGATCGAAAGCTTGAAACTGACAAAATTTCTTTGCAACTTTGGCGATATCCAATTTAATGTCAGTGGTAATCATGTTTATCGGGAATTACATCGATTTTGGCAGAAATTTCTATGTTTTGTGATTGTTGTGGAACTTGTGTCTTACAAGAGTTCTCAGCAGTTTTCCTTTTTTCATTTTTTTAATATTTATATCGTCCTTCTGCTTTGCTCCATTCAGTCAGACATGAAATTTACCCCTGTAACTTATCTAACTTGAACAAGGGAAATAGTGACTCCTTTACCACCGTCCCCCTCTCGAAAAGTTGTCAGTTCTACCTGATAGATCCTCAGTCATAGAGTTGCCGGTGATATCTTGGATCCCTGATCCAAGCTCAGGGGGAAAATAATTTATAACTACCTTACCTGAGTAGGACGATAATAGGCCTTTTCTTTCACAGCTCTGTTAAACACAAGAGCTTAAAAACCAAAAAGATCTTACATGATTTATTAGAATTTTGAAAAGAATCAGAAGAGCAAAAATAAATGATAGTTTTTTCAAGGAAAATACGATACATACAAAACCTCTGACTTGGGACTGTATTACTTTGACATGCGAGCTTAGCCCTGTTGATTTGGACGAAGTCACGCAAAATCATTCATTGTAGCCCAGACATAGTGAAGCAACCCAACCCATTTAAGAGCGTTATCTCTCCTTATGAGTTTTCACCCCAGACTCCCCTGGATGGATTCCCCAACCAACCTTTCTCCTTATCGGGTAAACTATTGTACTCTCTTCTACTTATGTCTCCAATTCTGCACTCCGTTTAGAAATAATCTGCTGCTATTAATGAAGGAAAAGTGTGAAAGTCGTTCCTCCGTTAAAGAGATCATCTGGTAAGTTGTTATGATGACTATGAGGTAGGTAGTAAAGTATGCCGTTAAATCTTCGCCAAAATTCGAGGTTTATTTTCAACATTCAAGTTCTTCTTTTAAACCATATGCAACATTTAAGTGATATGTTTTAGAATACAAAGGATATGATTTTGAAAACAAAGAAAGGGTTTGCTCCAAGACATTGTACATAGAGTTCATATCTAAATAGTAAACATAACGAAACTCTTGATTGTTTAAAAAAGCACTTGAATTCTGGCCGATATTTTTAAAAGGGCATAGCCATGGAGCTAATCTGACTGAAGTGTGAAGTTCTTGACCTCTATTGCCATTTAGTTTTTTAACTCAAACTTCCGTAGGAACACTCGAGAATAAAAATGTAAGCCGTTATTTTTTTCCTTCTTATTATGTCGCCAAATCAACATTGTCTCTCCAAGCGTCCGAAGTGGAGACGCGGAAAACCGGGAATGAGAATTTCGAGCCTCTTTCAGTAGGTTTGGTTCTGTCCCCAATATCGTGCTATTGAATTCTGCTCAGATATCTTGGGGGCAGTGTAAGGGCCGAAATTTTTAACCTGATTACATGGAGTTATCAACATAATTCGAAATGACGTCTGTCCCAATAGCTTAAATGATTTAGGTGGTTTTTCCTTCTTTTCACTTGATCCTTGATCAAGATACATCTGTATAGACCAGTTACAAACGAAGAGGAGATGTGCGTAAGAATGCTCAGTTGGAGAGAAAAGGGTTTTGAAGTCTTAAAATCGACGATGACAACAACCCCAACGATCAATATGGAAATTTTTTGTAGAACCGTACACTAAAATCACCCAGGTGGTTTTCCTTCTTTTTGCTCCATTCTCAATCATAGAACACCTTGCAGTCTTCGCAAACGAAGAGCAACTGGAAAGAAACGGGCTTCAAAGTCTTGAAATTGACGATGACAATAGTCCAAAACTTATTTATGGAAATATTTTGTCGCGCCGCGTGAGTGATTTAAATTCTTGTTTCTGAAGTTGATTTTCGCGTTTCTACGTGGCTGCCATATGGGTGTATGTCAAGCATATTTGGCAGCTGGTTTACCATGTTTTGAGGTTTTAAAGATGTCATTTGATTTGACCTTTAAGACTTACCATTATGCGATTGTATCAACCTGGTAATAATTGTAAACGATTTGTAACCAGTTTTGATAAATTTTGAATTGTTTCACAACTGCACCTCCATCAGTAACAGTTGTTTTGATATGTCAGAAATGATCACTGCTTCAGCTTGTACTATTGTACAAGGGGTCGTAAATGTTGATTTGAACTGCTCGTGGTGTTGCGTTTGTGTAACCTGCGGCGTAGCACACGTTTTTTTCTTTGTCTGTTTTTTATTTCTGTTGCGGCTTCGCAATTTGCCCAGGTGCTCCCCGGCTACGCTCACTAGTTATTAAGACCTCTCACGTAAAATTGCTAACTTATTTCACCGAAAATCCCCAAAGAAACTCGAGTTAACGCTTCAATAGTGTCTAGCTTATCTTTGACAGGCAATTCAGCTCTCTGTGTCCATGGAATCCTGTGTTCAACCTAGACCGGAAGTTTGCCTTGGCGTGTTCAATGCCCAAGTCGAGAGGGAATGGAAAGGAGGCTTGAAACCTCTCGCTTGGGTGCGAGCCGCTGTTGATGCTAGGATAAGACGCTTTGCAAACACTCTTAGCCCTGTTTGTAAATGCTACACCTCACCATACATTCTAGACCTTCCTATCATGTTTATCATTTTTATTTGCACAAATTATCTTACTTCGAACTTGCAAGTTTTTTAGAATCCGTTAGAAGTTAAAAAAACCTGCGACGATTTACCCGTTTGAGGTTCTTTAGACAAACAGACGTGTAGTTGCATCTCATTAAGCGCATGTGTAAGATTTCAATTTTTTGCGAACATTGCGTCATGAAGCTGCCGTGGATCAAAACTGGATTGATTCTCGAAGGCTGGGGAAAATTGTAATAACAAAACATTTTAGGGAGAAAAATATTTTGATGCGTGCAAAACACAAAACTAACATTTTTAAATAAACTCACTCAACCATAGATAACCAACTTAGCCTGAAACAAAAGTGGAAGTTGGTATGAAAGACGAAACAAAAGCAGTGCTTGTCTATGACAGTCACTCAAACACGAAAAATCTACCTGCTTGTATACTGACGTGGTCAAAAGAACGTATTTATAACGATTTCCTATAAGTTGAGCAAATTATATTGCTACAACAGCTGGGACGTAAGTTTTCTCGGTCGAGGATGAATTTTTTCAATATCATATTTTGTCTGCTCTGTTGCAGCTCGATCTTTCAAACACTGAGCGGGGTAAACAGCACATCAAAACAAGTCACATCCCACAAAACTCCCGATACTTCGACATCAAGCAAGTGCCACAACGTTCACTTCAACAATTACTATTCTGGGCCAGCAAATAAGGACATCAAGGTACATCTTCTCAAAATAGAGAATCAACTCGCAGATTTAGAGAAGAAAATCGATGCTTTGACGGAAAACAAAACAACTCCGCCAGGTGAGTTTTTGTCAATTTTGTATATACGTCTTACAACTTATCCATGCTGCAATATTATCATGCTAACTATAGTTGTTGATGTCTCTCGACAGCTATGAAAAACTGTGCTGAGCTGTACAAATCCGGCGAAAGAATTACAGGAGTTTACACAATCGATCCCGATGGTTTGGGTGCGTTTGATGTGTTTTGCGATCAAAAATCTGTAGGTGGGGGGTGGACAGTATTCCAGAAGAGACTCGATGGCTCCGTTGATTTCAACAATCGCGGCTGGGCGGACTTCAGACGTGGATTCGGAAACTTAAATGGTGAGTTTTGGCTCGGACTGGACAAGGTACACCGCCTGACCAAAACAAAGAGTAGACTGCGAGTGGAACTCGAAGACACACAAGGAAAGATAGCTTACGCTGAATACGATATGTTCTCTGTTTCCAGCGAAAGAAATAAATACAGACTTGGCCTTGGGAAGTATACAGGTGAGTGCCTACAATCTGTGGATTGGTCTATTTTACCCTAAATATGGTTCCTAAAGATACAGCCGAATTAGAGCGATTCTTTCATTTTTATACAGACCAATAAGCTCAGCGTCACAGAAAAGGTTACTATAACTGTTATTTACTCCAGATCCCCCAAAACAGTAGATTCTTCGTTTTTGCTTGTATGTTTTTGTTTGTTTGTTTGTTTTTTTTTTTCAGAATTTATTGCATTCTCTTCTATCATCAGAGTCTGAAAAACTCTGACATTCAATTTCTCTCCAAAGTAACACAATTTCTGGACTTTCTGATGGTTCCTAAACTCCCGTCTTTGAGGGGAGCCGCAAGTTTAGTGTTGTGCCTACTTTTGCTAACTGTCGGTGTTTTTGTCTCAGGAACTGCTGGGGATTCTTTGAGCTTTCATAGGAACATGGCATTCTCCACCAAAGATCGCGACAATGATAAATACTCGGGCAACTGTGCCGCATACTATAAAAGTGCTTGGTGGTACAACAACTGTCTCCGTGCCAACTTAAACGGCTACTATTACCACGGTTCGCACGTCGGGTCTGCCCATCGTGGTATCAACTGGGATAAATGGAAGGGTCAAAGTTACTCCGCTAAGAGAGCTGAAATGAAGATCAGGCCCGTGGACTTTTAAGCTAGAAACATACACAATCAAGGGATACACTACATGAGCTATAGTTTATCAGCTTTTCTACATAGTTGAGTGACACAGAGTAAAAAGCAATGTAATGTGCTTTAATATTTGAATGGGTCTAACACAAAGTAATGGGTTTAATAAACTGAAAGAGGAAATACGTTTAATTTATTTTCGTGTATCAATATTCATTTTGCGATCGACAGCTTGAAAAAAAATTATGAGCAACGTCAGCCATTTCTAATGAAATGTAGAGAATGATCAAGGTGATCTGGAATTGCGCTAACTTTAGTAAAAATTTTTATGTTCTGTGATTGGTCTGGAATATGTAACTATGTAGAGTTCTCAAGAGGTTTATTATTATTACTATTTTGATGATATTTATACCTTTTTTCAGCTTTGCTATTTCGTCTGACAAAAATTTACCCTTGTAAGTTTATTTTAATAACGACACCTCTCTCACCCTTCCCTTCCTCCCCCCCATCAGTCACAGAGTTGTCTATAAGATCTTGGATCCCTGATCCAAGCATAAGGAAACTGAAAAGATCTATAAGTACCTTCCCCGAATAGGACGATCGATTCAAGGCATTCTCTCTCAGGGTCCTGTTTAAGACAAGGGCTAAAAGATGGAACAGTAGATTGTCTCATATGATTTATTTATTATACTTATTAGAAGTTTCAAAAGAATCAGTAGAATGAAAAAGAAAACAAACAAACAAACAAACAAACAAGGAAAAGATTTTCAACGAAAATTCTGCAATTCAGTTTAGTTGCTTTTTCAAAACAGTTTCACAATAATTTTAATAGACTACTTTACTTATACTAGTGTCAACGAAACTAAAATTAAGATTCTTAAGAGAAACCCAAAAATTATGCTACCTCCGTCCAACTTGAGTGATATCCAATTAAATGTCATCAGTTGTGATCATGTTTATCGGGAATTACATCGATTTTGGCAGAAATTTCTATGTTCTGTGATTGTTCTGGAACATGTGTCTTAAAAGAGTTCTCAGCAGTTTTCCTTTTTTTATTCTTTTTTAACATTTATGTCGTCCTTCTGCTTTGCTATTTTGTCAGACATGAAATTTACCCCTGTAACTTATCTGACATAAACAAGGGAAATGGTGACTCCTTTACCACCGTCCCACTCCCGAAAAGTTTTCAGTTTTACCTGATAGATTCTCAGTGATAGAGTTACCGGTGAGTTCTTGGATTCCTGATCCAAGTTCAGGGCAAAAATAATCTTTAAGTGCCTTACCTGAGTAGGACGATAATAGGCCTTCTCTTTCACGGCTCTGTTTAATACAAGAGCTTAAAGACCCAAAATATTTTCTTACATGATTAATTAGAATTTTGAAAAGAATCAGAAGAGCAAAAAATAAATGATAATGTTTTCAAATACAAAAATACTGACTTAAAACTGTATTACTTTAACCAGCGAGCTTAGACCTGTTGATTTGGACGGAGTCACGCAAAATTATCCATTTTAGCCCAGTCATAGTGAAGCAACCCAACCCATTTAAGAGCGTAATATCTCCTTATGAGGTTTATCGAGCAATTTTCTCACCCCGAACTCCCCTGGATGGATTCCCCACCAACCTTTCTTCTTATTGGGTAAACTGTTGTACTCTTTTCTACTTATGTGTCCAATTCTGCACTCCGTTTAGAAATAATCTGCTGTTATAAAAGAAAGAAAAGTGCAAAAGTCATTCCTCCATTTAAGTGTTCATCTGGTAAGTTGTTATAACGTAGGTAGTATGTATGTGGTTAGATCTTTGCCAAAATTCCATGTTTATTTCAGCATTCAAGTTTTACTATTAAACCACGTGCAACATTCAAGAGATAAGCCGGGAAAAGTTGAATATTACTTGATTGTTGAAGAGAACAGTTGATCTTCAACCTTAAATCTTTTTTTGTGCATGTTTGAACTTAGATTAGTCGCATAAGATATAATTTTGAATACAAAGAAAGGGTTTGCTCCAAGAGATTGGTTTGTACTAAATAGTAAACATAACGAAACTCTTAATTTTTTAAAAAAGCACTTGAATTTGGCAGAGATTTTTAAAATTGCATGCAATGGAGCTACTCTGACTGAAGTTTTAAGTTCTTGACCTCTATTACCATTTTGTTTTAACTCGAACTTCCGTAGGAACATTCGAGTCATTCTTTTTTTTTCTTTTTATTTAGTCGCCAAATCAACATCGTCATTCCACGCGTCCCAAGTGGAGACGTGGAAAACTGCGAATGAGAATCTCGAGCCTCTTTCGTTAGGTTTGCCTCTGTCCCCAATATCATGCTATTGACTTCTACTCAGATATCTTGCATGAGGAGCAAGGGGCGCAAATTTTTGCCTTATTATGTGAAGTTATCAACGTAATTCGAAATGACGTCTGTCGTCGTAGCTTAAATGATCTAGTTTGTTGTCCCTTCTTTTCACTTGATCCTTGATAAAAATACATCTGTATAGACCAGGTACAAACGAATAGGAAACGTGCGCAAGAATGTTCAATTGGAGAGGAAAGGGCTTTAAAGTCTTAAGAGGACATCCGTGCAAAAATCAAACAAAAATGAAATTTTTGTGGCAAGGGTCAAAAATTCAAATTGTCTCAAGTCTTGCACACAAGTAGACCCTAGTAAGACAAGAAAGGCTGTGTATTTTTTTTCCTCAAATATGTTTTCATTTTCGAGAAAAACGAACTTTTCGCTTTCACCCTCTAGAATCGATGGATCGGGTCATAACAGATCGAAAATTGAACACTTTTCGCTCGCTTCGCATTTCAAAGATATTATGTCTAAGGAAATCTTATCAACGTGTGCTCTTTCATAGACTCTTCGTCTTCTGTAAAATGTAAGTTGTGTAGGAGTTGGTTGCTTAGAAGCTTTTAGCCATGCAAAAAAACAATGTGCTCTCTTCCGTTACAGAAAAATGTCGGTGAAGAAAACCTCTTTTTTCACCATGTGTCATTATTCAGAATTCCACAAAATTACGTATGTAAATTGCCGAAGGAATGATCTTCAAGATGACGTAAAGTTTTCTTTGGACAAATGTTTTCTCGTGACGCAGGAAACTCTTCAAAGTAGCACACGGACTGGAAGACATAAAATCACGCCATATGTTGATTGCGTGACCAAAGAGTTAAGGAGCAATCCTGCATTTGAAATTACTTAAAATCGTACAGGAGAACGTTTTCAGAAACAAATAACAAATTTATACCCAGTTTTGTTAAATTAATTTGTCTTTTATCATTTGAAGTTTGTTTCTGCAGAGATATTCCGCCGTTGTTCTGTCTAGTACGATTATGCACCAGTGCTAGCAACGGTATACGATTAAAAAACTTTGCTGTTCTCTCGCATACGAATCTTAAGTTTCTGCCCTTTGTTTGACTTGCTAACCCGTGCCTTTTAACTAGCCTATGGTAAACGAAAATCCACAAAATGTTATCTTACAGAGGCCCTTGCAGGAGTTAAGTGAGAGCTTGCATGACCTAATTTGCATAATTGCGGTACGAGTCGTCGTGCTCTTGTGACAGAATAATTTGGACTTACGAGTGGGGTCGGTCGACGTTATTTGAAGAGGCACAAATACGAGGAATAGAAATCATGTGTCTAGATATCCATTTAGCTCTGAGTTTTCCTAAATTTGTACTCGTGTTATTTTTTTTCTGCGTGAGTAAAACTATGATGTTTGTTAAATTTTCTACTTAAAAGCGAGACAATTAATTAAATTAACAAAACTTAATAAACAATCCTCCATTCGATTTTTCTCGCGTGAAACTAAGAAAAATAATTATTTCCCGCCCCCTTTGAATCGGAAGTCTTGCTTGTGAATGAAATGGAAGCTTCTTGCTCATTTAAGTTTATAGTTGGAAGTGCTTGCTCATACGACCGACAAGACAGGAGTAAATTATTTGAGGTGGTTCTCTTGGTTTCGTGCAATAAGGATGTACAGGGTCATAAAAGTGCTTGGTGTTTTGCCGGAGTTAAGAACGATAGTGAACTTAACCTTGCCCGAGCAGGTATTTTTACATGAGTGCAAAGGATATAAACGCCTTAACAATTTGTCAGCCAGAATACCTACAGAATTCCAGATGATTGTAGGGATGTCCGCCCTGATCTCTCTCGAAATCAAGAGAGCTGTACAGGAAGTGGGAGGCACAGCCGATACGAAAGAAGATTTGGCCTTTGTGAATTTACAGTCCAAACAATGCATAAATTCCTGGAAATCGCATTTACTGCGTTCAAAAAACCAGGACGAGTCCAGACTAGACGTCATCGATGAGCTGGATGAAACTTCTGCCTTGGGTCTCAGACCGGGCAATGAAATATCTACCAAAGAAATTTAGGGAGAGCCAAACAGACTGGTTTGGTAAGAGAGATCTGCCATGGCATATCACGGTTGCGACGAGAAAGGGAAATGATGGCAAGATTGAGATGATGACATCTGTACACTTATTTGAGACCTGTAACCAGGACAGTTCTGCAGTTCTTGCCATACTTAACGACGTCTTTCGTCGATTGAAGGATGTCATGCCTCATTTACAATCCATTTATCTTAGACAAGACAACGCCGGGTATTACCACCGCGCTTTAACCCTGGTTACAGCCAGCAAAGTAGCAGAGCTAAACAATCTCTTTCTACGCAGAATGGATTTTTCAGATCCCCAAGGAGGAAAGGGATCTTGCGATCGGAAAGCTGCAACTATCAACTCCCATATGGCCATCCATTTGAATTCAGGCCACGATATAGAGTCGGTATCTCAAATGCAGTAGGCAATCTGAGAATCATTTGGAGGTGTCCCTTGAGTAAAAGCAGTGTTGTGCAGGCCTCCTTTGTTTTCCATCAAAAAGCCAGTGAAATGGGATGTTGTGAGCTTTGTCAACAACGTTCAGTATGGCGAAGAAGGTGTCAGAGAGTATGGAGATCCGGCTACAAAATTGGAAGAGGCAAATTCATTCCTTAGAGCAAGTTTCATGTTCCTGACCAGGACGAAGTTCCAACA